CCCCAAAACCCCAAAACCCCAAAACCCCAAAACCCCGGAACAAAGAGAAAATATAGAATAAATTTAGAAATTGATCGGTATGGAATCTAAGAAAGGAATTTGGTTGAGAACAAAAGACGATGGAGTTCTTCTCTTTAAGAATATTAATCTTTCTCAACAAGAGAGCGATAAAGAAGAGAAGAAGGACCCAGATGCAGTGGAGCACTCTAAGGAGACTGTAATTCATGAATTTGAGGAAGATGTTCAACCTTTTACTCACGGGTCTAAATATTTTCATACTGAAATGCAGGTTTTTTGTACCGTGACGGATAGGACAGAAGGGGAAGATGGAAAATTAACTAGTATCAAGATAAATATGCCTACTCTACAGATGGAGGGAGTTCCTGTCGATATTGATGAAAACAGCGAAAAGATTCTTCAAAGCTCAATGGATATTTATCTAAGGGGAGTTCAAAAGTCTGGCAGCAAGTTTACTGTCCAAGGGACTTATAACTTGAATAGGAGTTTAAAAGAAAACATGGCTTTGGTGTTCCAGTCCCTCGGACAAAATATGGGCAATTTCAAATTATTCCATAATCAAAAGATTCTCAGCTTAAGTGAAGACTTTTCTGAAATTTATGAAAGCGGTAAAGATACCTATATTTATGCTTTCGAATGTCTTGGCAAGCCGAGAATGTTCAGAAGATTCCCAAGATGATACGAGGGTGGAACTTGGTCATGTGGAGGAAGTGCAGATGCCATTGCTTTCACTCCAAACAAAGATATTACTGTTGCTGGATTTCAATTTTTTTGCCCTAAAGAAGATTCACAGTGAGAAATGAAGTACAAGATAACCATTGACGATGTCGTTGTTGAAGAGACAGAGGCCCAAGTTTACTCTGATTGGGAGGATACATATTATAAAAGCGTATTTTTAGAGAAGAATCATCCAGCAAAAGCGAACTCAAGGATAAATATTTTAATTAAGATAGCTAAGAGTCTAGAAAACAGCCAATACACGAATACATATTATGGAACTGAAGGAAATGATGTTGGAAACATTGAAAATGAAGATATAGGCTTATTCTCGATTTCATATGGTACAGATTGCTGCAATGGAACATCTGAATCTAGTGGGCAAATTCCTGCTATTTTCTATTATCTTGGATAGCCTTAAGTGATTTCAGTTCTGACATATTTCCAAACATGATCTCAATATTATTGTTAAGGAAGGGGTTTTGGGGTTTTGGGGTTTTGGGGTTTTGGGGTTTTGGGG